AAAAAATAGGCAATGAATGGTTATTGGCTTGAAGAGCATTAATATATATTTTTTTGTTTATGGAATTAAATTGTCTTTTTAGGTTTTTTATGTAATGTATTGTTTGGTTTCATTTAATTTAAACTTGTGTTTTTAATTAAAAGTGGAAATATAATCAAATGTTTTGAATAATTTTATTTGTTAACTTTGTACAAGTTAAGTTAAATAAAAACTCCTGTATGAATACTTAACTTATACATATCTACTATTAAGTTGGTCCATTAAACTATAATTTCTACTTATTAATAATTGTATCAGGCTCCATCTATGTATGTATATCTAAACGCTAAGGCCTTAATTGCAAATTTAGAGCCTCGTATGTGAGGTTGTTCAAATGTTTCAGGAGAAAGCAAAACCTGTCTTATTTCAAAACGATCAAAAATTGTGTACGCCCAAGTTTGATAGGCATTTTATTTTATTACACTATACGGCAAAATCAACTTTTTCTTCTGGGTATTGGACCAAACTAATTTTTTTCAAGAGATAGAGTCCTAAGTAAAAAAGTAATTTCTCCGTTTTTCGAACTTAGTCTCCGAAATCGAGATATGGGCCTTCGAATTTCGAAATAGGACCTTTGGTAAAAATTATTTTTAAGTATTGTATGTAAATAACTAAAACAATAAAAGTATAGACGTAGTCCGCCTTTTGCTCTTATTTAAACAGTACATACATTTTTTTGTGCAAACTTATATTACAGGTCCCCTATTACATTTAAAAATCAGTTCAAAAAATTTTGAAATAAAATTTTTTTGACTTTTCGAAGATCTGACTCTTGACCCCTTTTATCACCTGTAATATATGTTTGAACAAAAAATGTTATATACCACATACATATTTACATATTATGTACATGCATACTAGGGCGGGCCGATTTTTCCCCATAAAATCGCTGTGTAGATCAGGAAAACGGAAAAATCGTATATGCAGAAAATGCTCTATGCATCATTCTGAACCACTTTGCATAAGAAACTTTAGTCTAAACCCAATTTCGAGCCTGCGAATTTTAAGGAGAAGTTTCATATCAGGTAATACAAAATTTTGTGGGAAAAACTGAAACAAATAGCTGATTTATGAGTGTAAGCGTACAAAAAGCAGTTCGATTTTTTTTTAAATACTTAAATAACGAAATTTTTAAGTCCTGCTTACTTTGCACGCGTGTTTTTTTTTGTTTTTTACAAACAGTCACAACCACACTTTCACGATTTTTTTTCCGTTACGCGCCAAGAAACACTGGTTAGCAGTTGAACGTATCTTTCAGTTCCTTGTATGTGGCATCGAACTNGTAAGGGTTGCCCCTTGACATTTTTCGTCATGTCTGCGGTATTTGAACTCGGATCTTAAAATATGATATATCGATTTTTTGGCTAAAGGAGACATTTTATTTTGTTCCAAAATTATTTGACAACAAGTACCCCGTTCTAGTACTTACCCATCATATCTCAGTTCTTATCACCCCTACGTCCCACCCTAATGCCAGTAAACTAAAACTCAGCAAACACAATTGAATTTTTGCTAAGGAAGTATTTNGTACACATTTTTTGTTTATTGCCAGGACGCGTACTGAATATTTGCTGAATGAGCAAAGTATAAGTTACTTCTGCCGCTCCTTGGAGGGAAGAAATGGGTGAGGCGGATATATTTGAATAGAAGCGGATTGCCGTATATAACAGAATGGTAGTACTTAATGTTAAAGTACATGGAAACATAAACTCTTATAAGGTATTATTCTAGAGTTTATAAGTTACAAGGAAGTCAACTTGTTACAACGTACAATCGTAAAATCCAGGTTTTATGTTAGCTATTTTTTTTTGTCGGATCCAGGCAAGGTGTAATTTTAGTCCGATTTCAATAATTGTTAATGGTTTGCTTTTATGTGGCAAGCACAATAAGCATACCGAGTTTTGTACAAATTGATCGAACGATTACCGAGATTCACATATGTGGTCATAAGTGGGCAGTGCCACGCCTATTTTCCAAAACTATGTCGTTACGTATTTTTTGCTAAATAATTATTGCAAACATCAATTTTGAATAAATTTGCTACAGTTTGTTGTATCAAGGTCAACAACTGTGCCAAGTTTGGAAGAAATTGGTGAAGCGACTACCAAGCTATACACATGTAATCATAATTTAATTTTGAGTTAATAAGTTTCAGTAGTTTCTAAAATATCGCAGTTTTCGTAATTCTGAAAACTACCGTTATATGGGAGGTAGGCGTGGTTATTGTCCGATATTACCTTATTTCAATACCATCCGTCCTACGCCAAAAAGAAGTATACATAACGAATTTCGTTAAAATATCTCAATTTCTAAACGAGTTATCGTGTGCAAAGACGGACAAACATACGGACGGACGGACAGACAGTAACCGCTTAATCGATTTTTTTTTTTCAATTCTTATTTTATATATTATATTATTCTTCATTTATGCATTAAAAAAAAAATAAACTACTTTTTGTAACCTTACTGTAGGGGATTAGCTATTTGTTTAAGTTTTTCCCACACAATTTTTTATTACCTGATATGAAACTTCCCCTTAAAATTCGCTGGCTCGAAATTCGTTTCAGACTCAAAGTTTCTTCAGCAAAGTTGCTCAGAATGATCCATAGAGCATTTTCTGCATACACGATTTTTCCGTCTTCCTGATCCCCTACAAAGCGACCCGCTCTAATGCATACAGACATAGGCAAGAGTAGCGTTAGTTCAACGGAAACCCGAATTTTATTTGAGAGAAAATCGCTTCATTAAAAAAGGAGTGTCTCTTAGATAATACAAAAAAGCGTTTAGATATGTACATGCGTACGTATGTACATATGTAGATAAGTACCTATGGAGGACTTATGTACTCACATGCACATCTGAACGAACAAATATAGTCAAGTTCAGCAATTCTTCTGTAAAGTACTAAATCATTGCTTTTCTTTCCAATATCTATCTACATAATTTTGGTAATTGTATTACCACAATTTTAATAAAAATTTTATTTTTGGGGAAAAATTAAAAAGCACAGATATTTACATATGTGTGTACTCTTCTGCCTTTATATTAATTGTACATATGTACGTATGTACTTACACTTTAATAGTGAGTAAGTAAAAGATTCCCACAGGCATTTATCCTTCGGGGAAAATATATACAAATTAGCATATCACCTATACCAGCAGCTAGTATAAAAGCTCTTGCATCACCTTTTCCGCATTTAGTAGGAAACAGTGAATAGAGTGCACAAGTTTATCAAAACCTGTTGAAATTTAAATTTCTTCCCAATCAAAATGGAAGTAAGCAATAGAGGCTCACAGTCAGCTTTGCCTCAAGTGGATATAAAAACGCTTACGCCTTCCAAGAAAGCCGATTCCGTGAGCACGATATCTGGACTTAGTGAAGTGCCGAGTGATATTATTATTAAGTCCCGTATTAAATATGGTACACGTTGGTCTGCCTGTAAAGGCCTGATAATGGAGTATTCAAAAAATACAACAATCCATGGAATACGTTATTTGGTGGAATTGCGGCGACCATTTTATGAAAAGTGAGATTTTGAAAATATTTAAATACATACATATGGGTGTTTCCATCGGAAGGTCCACCACGACAAAAAAAAAAATAAAAGTCTTATATCTAACGTATTTACGGGCCGATTTGTCTGCTTTTTTAAATATATACTGGCTATGTAAGTAGAATCATGTTTGCATAAAATGGTCTTCCTAGGAGGAAAAACCGTACTTATGGTCCGATTTGGTTCGAATTTGGCGTATGTAGTTGAAACATAATAAATCATAGATTTCCAAAAAATTTACCCTGAATTTGCGCTAAAGTCAAAATATAAAGTATATTCGACATAAAATACATGTTTTATTTGCGTTAAAAATTCATTTAAAAGTAATATTAACAAAAATATAACGATGGAAATTTATGTCAGTGACGCCACGTTACGTCACGTTTCACACTTGGGGTTGTAAAAGAAAATTGAAACAATTTGTATTAATTCAAAAAACTCTAAAAAGAACTAGAATTGCTCCAAATCATATTAAAATAAGTTTCATGAAAATAGCCATCCACAATTTGCAGAGTTTTGCGATTTTGTAAGAAAAGAAAAAATCGACTTCCATTTTTTGTCACGTAACGACACTCTCTTTAAATGCTTATATTTTTCAGGACCAAGCAGTTCGATTGTTTTAATTTTTCGGTTAAATATAGAGCTAATTATGTGCTATACAATGGCCCAAAAAAGTTATAGAAAACAAATGGTATTCCTTGTTTGTATCACATTGAAGCGTACGACTGTCACGTATGCGACGTATGGAAATGCCAATATGTACATATGTACATACAACATATCGCTCATAGTGTCATAATAAATAAAATTTTAGTTTAAAAAACTAAAACCTCCCTATTATAATTGCCATTCGTACTGTCATCAGGTATGTAACTTGAGAATAGAAAACGCTGCATCTTTTAGGCGCATCAATATTACATAGTTACATCCCGAGCTAATAAAAGGAAGGTAAAAATAAAACAAATCAGTTAAAAATTGAGAAAAACAGTTTTAAAGTTTACAGTTTACATACGCTCCCATGGTCAAAGTGATGACCAATTTTCTGCTAGTGAGCTATGGTTACTCGATACCCTATCTCACATTTCGGTTGCTTTAAATATAGTTTGAAAATTTAGTGAAAACAAAGTTCTACTGTTGCGAATTTCGTCGAATTGCTGATTTTTATTAAACATAATATTTTATCTAACGCTGTAATATTTGTTTTCAATTTCTATTAGATATATTCTGAGCTATTTGACAGATTTTGTATAAATCTGGACTAGAAATGAAAATGAGTTGGGGCCTTTCTATATTAAGGTAACGATATATACATTAGACCGTACCAGAAAAAAAGGTCGAACGTAAGGGTTGCCCCTTGACATTTTTCGTCATGTCTGCGGTATTTGAACTCGGATCTTAAAATATGATATATCGATTTTTTGGCTAAAGGAGACATTTTATTTTGTTCCAAAATTATTTGACAACAAGTACCCCGTTCTAGTACTTACCCATCATATCTCAGTTCTTATCACCCCTACGTCCCACCCTAATGCCAGTAAACTAAAACTCAGCAAACACAATTGAATTTTTGCTAAGGAAGTATTTCGGTTTCTCCAGTAGAACTATTAAAAAAAATTGTATTGCCGAAAAAATACGACATCTAGGTTCAGCAAAAAGAACTATATTTTTTCCCCAAATTGACTTACCAAGATACTTTAGACTCAGGGGTGTACGGCAAACTATTTTTGTTTGCTTGTAAGGTGGCACGGGCTAATGTGCATATTTATGTATCGTTACCTTAATATAGAAAAGCTTTAATTAATTTTCTTCCAACATCAACATTTGTACAAAAGTCGGCCGATTACTTACTAAAAACTTAGTGGATTTTGAAAATAACTGCCACAGCATTTAATTAACTGGAGACTTCAATAAAAATGAATTTTAAAGAAATTCGCGAGCAAGGAGTTCAAGTATTATTAAGAAGCCAGATAAGCGCTTTTCATGTTCATGTAATATCAATATCTTAAAAGTTAAAGAAAATTTGAAAAAAAACTAAAAAATAGTATAAAATTTTTAATGTTAAATAATGAAATTTGCAGGTTATACTGGTTCATTGTGCTTGTAATATCTGTGTATTTCGCTATTTCTCTGATATGGGCGACATATCTTAAATGGCAGGACACACCGGTCATTTTGGGTTTCGACGAAACGCTCGTGCCCGTGCATAAGATACCATTTCCCACAATAACCATATGTCCCGAAATCAAAATGGAACGCAACGTCTTCGACTTTCCCAACACATCGAGCCGCATTTTGGAAGAGATACAAAAGTATGGCTCATTTAAAAATTATGAAAATCTAAACGAAGCAGAGTAAGCACTTATACTACAGAATTACATATTTTAAGGCGCCTCACACGTTTGACATTTCCTCATTCGCTCATAGATTGGAACGTTTTATGTCTACTTTGCATATTTGCGAATCGGATGTGGTACGTCGCTTTGCACAATTTCTACCAAAGGACATTCGACCAAACATTACGCAAACGCTAGTTGATATTTCGATATCGAAAAACGAGACCGGTCCGTTTTGTAAGTGGAATGGACGATTTTATTTTTGTGATAAAATTTTCAATTTTGTGCCAACCGATGAGGGTATTTGTTATCAATTTAATGGTCTTCAGGCGAAGGATATATATCGGGATGTGAGGTGAGTGGAAAAGTGATTGTTTGTGTGTGTATAAAAAAATTTTAAACTAACAAAATTTGTTTGTGCTACGGTGCAGCTTTATCAATTACTACGACCCGGAAGTGGTCGATTTTAATAACTTTTTTGACGATCTACCCCGCTTTAATAATTTGACCGGCAATTGGTCGTTGGATGATGGCTATGTGGATCAGGGCTATAATTCGTATCCTCAGCGCACAGCGTTTTCGTCGGCACGAAATGGATTTTTCGCATTTTTGCAAGGATATGAGCATAATTTCGAATATGCTTGCCGAAGCTTTAAGCAAGGATATAAGGTAAGCGGATGTTATACGAGGGCTGCTCCAAATATTTTGCATCTAGCAATGAAATAATGCATTTTCATTATTAAAGTTGGTTTTTATTTTCGAAATATTGCTTATGATATTGTTTAAACCCGTGCATATAATGTAAACAGGTCCTATAAATTCGATATTTTTCCAAATTTTATCTATCGAAAAAGTTGATTTTTTGTTAATTATGGGCCCTTATTATGAGCTGCATTCGATTTTCGATCTTCGCTGGCTATCGAAGATCGAAGATCGAAAGTGAAATTCGTATTATGAGCTATGCAAGCGTGTCGAAATTTTCGTTGAGTATCGAATTTTCTGTCGAACAGAATTTTGCTTTCGATGGTGTAGCGAAGTGTTAGAAAATTGTGAAAAAT